GATACTTTGTTAAATCACATATACAAAGAGGAGAATTTAGTGTTGATCCTGTAACTGTTCTGTTCTGAATTTCTTTTTTTTTTTTTTTTTTTTTTGAGACGGAGTCTCGCTCTGTCGCCTAGGCTGGAGTGCAGTGGTACAATCTCAGCTCACTGCAACCTCCGCCTCCTGGGTTCAAGTGATTCTTCTGCCTCAGCCTCCCATGTAGCTGGGATTACAGGCCTGTGCCACCACGCTTGGCTAATTTTTGTATTTTTAGTAGAAACAGGGTTTTACCATGTTGGCCAGGCTGGTCTCGAACTCCTGACCTCAGGTGATCCACCTGCCTTGGCCTCCCAAAGGGCTGGGATTACAGGCGTGTCTGAATTTCTTTGTCTGATAGTCCCTTTCTCCCAGGCAGCATGGTGATAATTTCCTCTTTTTGTCAGTGTTGTAGTCTCTTAGGAAATACTCATTAAAATGCTAAGAGTTTGTGAGATCAACATGCTTTAGACTATCTGCCATCCTCCTAGTGGTACCTCTTCCTTTGTGATCAGGTGGTACTTCATGTGCCAGTCATACCTAAAAGCCGACTTGTTAAATACAGCTCTCTGGATTGACTTGGTATCGAGACATTCTGTATTTAACTTGGGCCAGAAACTTGTGATGGTCATTGGTTCTGAGGCTGGGTAATACATCCTTTGTCAAAATACCTGTGTATGATACAAACTTAAAAAGCATAGAGCTCTTTGGGGTGTTTCAGGGATTTGTTTCCCATCCCTCACAATCTTCCCATGGTGGTCAACCTTAAATGAATGCTCTGAGACATTGCATCTGAGGTAAGAGCCTCTGTCCTGCCTCTTCTCAGGCACCACAGCATCTTCCCCATTCTCAGCCCATACTGCCTGGTTCTCTTGTAAGGCAGGAAGTAGCTGTTTAGGTCAGCATAGCTTTGTCCATGGTTTCCTCTGTACCCACTTCTACCTTAGAGATAACATGAAGAGAAAGGAACTTTAATTCAATGACCTGGAAATGAACTAGGTGGGGTAGGTGAGGGGGACTGCCTGCTGTTCTGCTGTTTGTAAAAATTAAAATACACAAGCAAAAAACAAAATATGAAGCAAAGCTTTTCAGAGTGAAGTATTTTGTTAAACCTATTCAAATGACTAGCCCATGGGAATTATAAATAAATTCTTGACCTTTAAGTTTTTGATAGGTAAGATGCCAGGAATGAGAGGTCTTTCAAATGGTTCTCTGATTCCTTTTTTTTTTTGAGATGGAATCTCACTTTATCACCCAGGCTGGAGTACAGTAGCACAGTCTCGGCTTATTGCAGCCTCCGCCTCCTGGGTTCAAGCAATTTCTTTTTTTTTTTTTTGAGACAGAGTCTCGCTGTCGCCAGACTGGATGGAGTGCAGTGGCATGATCTCGGCTCACTGCAACCTCCACCTCCCGGGTTCAAGCAATTCTCCTGCCTCAGCCTCCTA